AGTATAGACAATGCTACCTTAATTTGCAAATTTGAACAAAAACATGATTATGAATAATTATCCATAATTAGCTCAAATTAGTATCATTAATAATTATTAATAATTAAGATCCAATAAAGGAGAGGGGTTTTCCAAATAGCCACTAGTAAGGTGGAGGGTGGGGACAAGAGTATATGTATGGCATGCCTATATATAAATAAGCATAAAATTGTTGGAGATAATCTCAATATTCTTGGTACATATATTTCCTGCATAGTAGGCAAATATATTATTCTGGCACTACATACCAATATAACTGTCTTTTCCACAGCCCAATAGCTAGAGGAAAACACCAAGTTTGAGCATCTTTTGTATAACAAGGCAATGAACAACATGGATAGTGCTGAAAATTATAATATCAATAGCAATGATGATTATGTGGTGCATAAGATAGTATTGACCACTATACTGATAGACAAGGCCTACAAGGCTGCATATAGCACATCCCTAAGCCCAACCTGCATGTTGTGTCCTATATTGACTAGTAGCAGGCATTGGCTAATAATAACAACTTCAATGATCTTGTGTGCAAGGCCAAGGTACTGAGGTCTTCATAGCCTTTTGTGGCAGTTGCCAAGCTGCCAACAAAGTGGCTAAGGGCATTAATGCACATTTTCTCTTTCCATGTCCCTTATAAAGGCAGCTGGAAAATCAGCAAAAGAGCTATAAGATGATAGTGTAGGCATACTCGTGCCTATAAAAAGTGTTTGAACAGGTGACTGTGACATGACATGTCTCCTAGTTTCTGACTGTCTCCTGAGAGCAATTGTGAATGGATTGACAATTTGATAGTCTTTATGAAGAGCTAGGAATGTCTTTTATACAATACAGTAGTTAGAATCTTATATGCCAGCCTTTTGCTGCCTGAACTTGTGCAATTCTCTCTGACATCTTCCCAGTATGTCTCTGAATCTCCTCCTCTGTAATTTCTTCCCATGCATGCTGTGCTACTAACCATAGGTTCTTGAGAGAATTACTGGCACCTGGAGTATCAGCAACATGGTTTTTGAGCAGCAGCCATAATGGCTCGATAGGGTTAAAATCGGTAAAGATAGAGGATGTGTTAGGGATATGATGCCCAGTTTCAACCAAGCAGATTTTGCGAGGCGGCTTATATGGGCTGGTGCTCTATCTTCGATAACAAGCATGAGATGTATCTGCTGCTGCTCTATCCTGTTGAAAAAAATCCTTTAGAGGCCCTTCAAGAACCTGTGCAACGTACTCTTTTGCACCCAAGCCTCTACCTCATCTTTGGCCCTTCTTACTCATGGTTACAGGCAGGAAACTCAGCTTGATCAGCAGACCTTTCACACTATGTGCAATACACCCCCATACCATAATGGATTTGCGACCACTCTTGAAGGTTGGCTGTATATTCTCAGAAAGAAATTCTTCACCTGGTAATCTCGTTACTCTCCTGTCCCCTCGCCTCTCTCCTAACTCCAACTTTGCCTCATCAGTCCAGATAACCTCATTCCAATCCCTTGTCATATTCTCCTTTGCCTAAATGAGACATTTCCGGATAGCCGCTGGTGATAAGAAGGGCTTGCAATGTGCAACTTGGCAGTGATAGCCAGTAGGAGTTGCTATGGTGCAAACTTGTCAAGATGTTACATGTTCAACATGCTCAGAAATGATGGAATAAAGGTCTAGATGGTGTGTATAGATCTTACAAAGGACCCTGCACTGTGTGCAGCCATCAATGATATGTGGCTAGCCAGATCAAGGGAGACTGTGTTAGGTATGGAATTGGTTCTTGTGAGTGACAGTATAATGGCATGCCTTGACAAAAGCACCAGTCAAGGAAGCAATTTTTTGATATGAGTATCCAAGATCATGCAAAGCAAGGATTCAACCTCTTTTTAAGGGTGTAAACTCAGTGGTTCCAGCAGGAGGCATGAATTTCTTAAGACTACTAAGGCTTGGCACCTCATATAAAAGCTTCATATAATGGTGTTCAAACACTTTTTGCAGGCACGAGTACATGAAGGAGAGTAATGTGCTAAAACAGCATAGAATATGCCATATCTTTATCTTCTTACTGATAGAGCAGTAGTACTTACTATTTCCTACTGCTAATTAAAGACTTCTTGGTGTGGAATTAGTGCTAATATTAAGAAATTAGAAACTATCTTTTTAGCCACAGAAAGATGTTGTTCCTAATTTGGAAATCCAGTCCAATGCTCATAATGTATTGCTCCCAATTAGGAAATTAGACACTTTTAGATGCTATTAACACTTTTAGATACTTTTAGACACTATTAAATATAATCCAGAGCTAATACAAGGGGGTGGTTTTCTAGATGCTTACTATGATGACCCCATCCATGCCCACTTATGGAGATTAAATGGCCCTAACCTTTGACCCCATTGACCCCACAAACTAAGATAATATTTTGCCAATCTGGACTTTTACTTCATTCAGTCAGCAGTAGTAGATGAGTAGGAAAGGAGGAAACATGCTTGTCAATTTCTGGACATCAATACCTGTGAGCTTTAGGAATTACTCACTACTTTTACCAATACCACAAAGACCTTCAAGGACTTTTATGAAGAAGTCTACAGGCTATACCCCAGATTGGAGAAAGAATGCAAATGGTCAGTATTAGATATGGACAAGCTAGTTGGTGAAACAAGTATGATTGGCATCTTGTCTCTTAGTAAACTCAGTAACTATCATTAGTGATTCCTTATAATCATGGTATTCCTCCTCAGCAAGGCACAAATCTTGGTTGCTAAACAAGAATATGCCTCTGCTAGAGTATTCTAACTAGAGCTATGGACAAGATTCTCTCAATGTCTACAACTCAAGTTTCCCAATCATTTCCCAGACAACCTGTACAACCTCTGGGACATCCATGATATGGCCTAATTTATCTTGCATGGCACCATGGCTGCCTATAGTACTACCTCTACTAATATCTCTCAAGCAGCCCCTGTCATGCTACCTACCAATGCAATCAAGGCTAAAGACCTGGCAACCATATTTGAACAGCTCACTGACACCTTCATCAAGGCTATTGCAGCTCAAGGGACATCCAGGCCAGCCAATCAACTATTCTAACAGCTAGGACAGGGCAGTGACAACTACATGTTCTGTGGCAGTCCTGAATACTTTATGCTTGCCTGTTCTAAGGTTACCAAATACATTCAGATTGGCAAATGCAAGTGGAATATAGAGGAAAAGGTTATATTGTCAAGTGGAACATTTATACCCAGAGAAATTATGGGTAGTAACCTGAAGGATTGAGTTGACAAATGGCATTGCAGGAATCTAGGCTAGTTGGTGACCAGACAGATAATATTCATAGTAAATATAGCACTAACTCACCCAATGATGATAGCCTTCCATCACAATTCACCCTCATTGCTAGATGTCACCCTAACTTACCAACTTACCAATGTTCAGCAAATCGTGAGCCTCAAACATGAACTATTTGTGCTCTGCATGGGGCATAAGGGCACATGAAATGGCACAGACAGGATGTTTAGCACCTACCCCTTTACTGGTCCCCAAACAATAAGTGATGACTAAAACTCCTAAACCTGAACCAAGGCCAACTACCCCAACTCAGTGACTGCCCCTAGTACCAACCAAGGATGATGCCCTGATCCATTCATATGCCAAAGTCCAGGACACTAACTATGCACTATCACATGAATGCAATATGGGAGCCCCAGCAAAGATACTATCAGCAAAGAAGGATGCTCTGGCCTATAAAACTATAGTGCCAATCTATGACAAAAAGGTAGTATCTGAGGTCTACAATAGGGCAATAGCTACTTAAATGATGCTTACCTAGTGCAAACTACTCTCTTTCTCCACCAAAGTCCATTCACAGGTCAGGGAAGCTATGTTAGCATGCCAATCATCTGCCAAAGACACTAGCAATATTTGGACCTTCTACCAAAATGCCAATCTACCCTATGCTATCAACAACCTCAAACCACTAACACAACCAACTGTCTCTTTCATCATCAATGTCCTACATTAGCCAGAAACACCTCTGCCTAGTGTGATTGTCATCCCTGACATATATAAGATGTATCTGAAAAGTCTATAGCCTAGTGATATACTAGAGGTGGCTCTAAGTGACAAGCACAATACTAGAACAACCTCTAGAGTAGGGGTACTGGAGCTAGTATCTAATACACAAGGAATCATTAGTGATGACTTTAGAATTCAATGGCATACTAAGAAGCAATGGAGAGTATGAGGTTATACTACCCAAATGGTTTTGGGACTGCACCGAACACTGACCAAATGTTCGGTCAGTCAAGTCAGGGATTTAGCTGGTAACAAGAAGATAGTGTTGTGGCCAACAACTATGTGCTTTAAAAGCCACAAGGGACTCTGACAATATACAAGAAAGGACAAGGGATATAAGCAAAGAGATAAGTACAAACACAAATGAGGCCAAACAATGGGGATGGCAAGTTTTTGGAAGTCAATGAAGACAATCTCAATGGTTGAGACAAGCACAAATGAGCTCTGAACTATGGGGTGCAAAAGCTAGTTTATTCCAGAGTTGTATGTAGGTTTTTATGGTAAACAGAGCCCCTAAGTAGAATATTGAACATGAAATGAGAGTAAATGTCAAATAGGTGCCAAGCCCTAGCAATGAGAGAAAATAAGAAGGTAGGTAAAATGTTTATATGGGTTCCAAAGGTAATAAGGTAAAAGTTAATCAGCAATGGCAAAATCCTAAATGTTTAGGATCCGTTGCCTGAGTGTAGGTAGCAGAAATAGGCATTGGAGAACTAATGAAAATAAAGAAGAAGCAATGTACAACCAAGGTGGCCAAGTAATGGTACAAGATTGTATTTGACCAACTATGTGGAAGTTAGGAAAATAAGTAATAAGGACTAACTGACTCATGAAAGACATTGGCTGACACAAAATACTGGCTCTGATCTCATAAACACCTATTATAATACTCCTGTGTGGTCATAGTAAGTACATGAAGTGTGGGCAAACTGAGCCAAGTGCTGCTGAATGTCCTTTAGTAGGTTGCAGTCAGTCGGGTGGGGACCAACCATGTTTGGTAACAGTCAGTGTCTTTAGTACTTATCTAGCACTGTTCAGTGTCTCCCCAAAGCTTTCCAAATACCTTCCTCAGACCCTAGCACAGGTGCATGCTCATCATCTTCTCCCTACTGAATCCTGACTGTCCTTAGTCAGTAATTAGTGGCTATAATGTGAAGTAGAAAAAAATGGCATGGAAAATGGAGCAGAGGTGTGGAAAATGGAGCAAAGGTATGGAAAATGGAGCAATGTGGCAAGTTACATGGGAAAGGATCAGCAATAAGCAGTGATGTGAAAAGAAGTGGGCATATAGGAGAGATGTGGCAAAGATGAATAATCTGCAAGGAGATGTCATCAAAAGGACCAGGTTGGCATACAAGAGAGACTAGGACTAAGCTAGAAAATTCCTGTGGCATGGCCACTGATTAGGTAAGAAAGTGGCTGAGGCCTAAAGTGCCCCAACTAGATGCTGGCATGGGAGTGTGTTGGCAAATGGCGGTGACATGTATTATAGTCTTTGCCAAGTGCAGTGGCATAGGGCTTTGTCAGGTGACCACAATCACCTGCTGATTGTTAATTCTCCAGCAACTAAGTCCCTTATTGCCATTCTCCTGCTGCTTCATCTCTTTGTCTGAATACCATCCATTCTCTCTGTTCTCAAGGCAAAACTTGCCAAATGCATGCTCTCCCTCCTGGATGGAGCTGCTAAGTATGAGGATCATGAGCTTTGGAGCCAAGGTTTTGCCCAACATGTGGTGATTTGGCTCTCCCTCCTGCTCTTATTAGCTGCCAACCACCTTAGTAGGCTCTTCTCGATTGTTCAGCATATAGTGAAGATATTCCCAAACTTGCCAATCTTATTGCCGAAGCTAAGCGTAGCCTCAACCACATGGCTATTAACAACTGGCTGGTATGGGAGGCACACATCCTGCTATAGTGAGCAGCACTCTTTGCTGTGAAGCAGCAGAAAGAAGCTAAAGCACAGGCCCTGGCTGAGGAGACTAAAAGGGTAGCTGCCACCAAACACAAGGCTAAGCGAGTGGAGGTGTCACAGACTGCTGGTTGTAGGTAGCCACAGAAGACCATCAGCAGCACAGGCATGCTGTGGTAGGCAACATGTTTGATGGGTCTCTCAATCCTGAGAAAGATGAGCATCAGCTAGCTGAGCTGAATGCTGAAAACGTGGTCCCTCCCCCTCTTTTCTTTCCCTCTCCCTCCCCCAATCCTGTTCCTTCTTTCTTTTATCCTGCATCTTCCACCAACACTGACCTGGTCTCAACAACCATGGCTATTAAATGAGTGTGGACCCAACTACTCTAATCACTCTGATCAAATCGCAAGGAAAGCATGCTGCCACTGTTATTGTCAAGTTTGCTCACTAGCAAACTCTATCTCAGGGTCAGATGATTGTTCCCCTCAGTTTTAAAAAGAGCCACATGTCAACTGTTTGGCCACCTGTAGAGAGGAACAGTGCTGGGAAGATGATACAGGATTCCCTGGGCTTAATGCCTGATGACATACTTGTAAGTCCCCTCACTTTTGCTGTCTCTCATTGCTTGCTGATCCTTTTTCTTCCAGGCTGACTATGCCTGCCAAAGGTACACAACCAAGTTTACCATCATGGCCTTTTGGTGCTACACAAGGTCTAGCCAATTTTTGTGTACAAAGTGCTCCAAGGAGCAGAAAGGCTGCAGCTTCCAGCCCGGGTGGATGCTGAAGGACAAGGGCAAGTCGAAGGGGAAAAAGAAGTCAAAAGTGAAGGTGGCCAAAACGTTGGAGGAGCCAGAACCATCATGCCCAACTAAAAAGCATAAGGTTGAGATACTCATCCTCAAATGATCTGTTGGCGAGAGTACCGCATAAACTAAAGGTGAGTAATTGGTTGGTCATTGCTAGAATGTGAGCTTATTGTATTAGGAAGCTGTTTAGGCTCAGAAGCCAGTCCAGTGTCTTCCAACCAGCACTCATATCATCCTGGCCCCTTCCCATCCTTACTCCTCTGCTATCCCTGCCCTATCTGACTCATCTTGCCTATCATTGCGCAAGGCATTATATTGGAGCTTTGGTACCACATTGCTATGGCTAAAGATATGTATGCCTCGCTGGCACATTTGATCATGATGTGGCAGGGTAAGTTGGAGGTTCTTGAGGCACATTTGGGTGGATGGGCAGTTTCAGATGTGGTGCTGGTGGAAGACTCATTAAATGCCAAGGATTTGGACATGTCTATGTTGGGTGACTTTGTGCCCAATGTGTAGAATAGTTTCAAAATGTCTGTAGTACAGTAAAATGTAATATGATAGTAAAAAGACTATCTTGAGCTAAATGAGATGTTTGGCAAAGACTAGAAGTGTTGTTTGGAAAATTAGTTGGTAAAATGACTATGTGTAAATGTAGCTATAAGTGAAGCATTCAGCAGAAATAACAAAAATAAATTGAAATACTAGGAGAAGCCTCAGTATGTCATCATAGGCATAAAACCCTATGGTTTTGCACAAATTAGAAGAAGTATTTAATGTGGCTTATGAAGGAATGATGGGGAAAATAAGGGCCAACAATTTGGTTGGCACACCTCTTATATTATTACTATGGCAAACCCATCTATGCCAGCTTACAGCAATAGGACCATACCTACTTTTGACCCTCACCAACCTCAAGAACTTAGGCAATATTTCTTGAACCTTAAATTTCACTTTAATCAATTTGTGGTTGTAAATGCTATAGAATACAAAAAGCACACCTACTAATCCCTTAATGTTAATACCTGTAAACTCTGGGAGACTCTGGCCAAGTATACCAATGCTATAACACCTTACAAAAACTTTTACTAAGTAGTCTAACATTTCTACCCAGGATTGGAAGAAGAAAGAAAGTGGTTATTAGCAGATATGTATAAGTTGGTCAGAAAGAGTGGCAGGATAGAGATTTTATTGCTTAGTAATCTAGGCAAATACTACTACCAGTTTCTCATAATTACCTTTTTCCTCCTTAGCAAGGATCACATCTCTATTATTGAGCAAGGCCACACTTTTACTCATGGCTTCCAACCTGAATTATGGGGCCACATCTTATAGTGCCTTCAGCTCAAGCTCCCCAGCCACTTTTCTAATGACCCATACAAGTTACAAGACATCCACAATACTATAAAGTTTATTCTGCATGGCACCTCTTTGATATTCTAGCTTGCCTCATCTGACAGTTCTTACATAACAAGCAGTACCACAACAGAGCTAACAATCAAGGCTAAAGACTTTGCTACCCTGTTTAAATAAATTGCAGAGACCTTTGTCAAAGCCCTCTTAAACCAGCCTGCTTAGGCCTTGACAATGTTATAGCCCCTATGTACTTGCCACAATCCTAAAAGCTCAGATTATTGTATGTTCCATAGAGAATTCGATTATTTCATATGTAAATGTGAAAAGGTCACTAAATATATCTGAGTAGGAAAGTGCAAAAATAATATAAAGGGGCAGATCATGTTGTCAATAGGTATATTTGTGCTATGCAAGATCCCAAATAGCAACCTCAAGGATTGTATCACTAAAAGGCACTGCCACAACCTAGGCCAGATTATTATAAGTTTAATAATGTTTGTAGTAGACTCCCCACCCTCAGTAGCAGTCACTATTGCCTTATAACATGATTTGCCTTGATTTATTGACATAGCAGCCATGTACCAGCTAATAGACATTAAATAGATTCAAAGCCTCAGATAATAACTTTTTGTGCTATACAATTGAGGCAGAATTAGGACTAGAGCCCAAGCTTAGATAGATTGTAGTATGTACAAAGATACCCTAGATGTCAACTTTCACCACTTAACTTTGCTAGCAGCTATAGCAACCTAATAAGCACTAGCTTGACCCTAGCCAGCCATGACTAGGATGACTACAGCTCTAGAAATGGCCAAACCATCAGTGTATCTCTTCACTAATGTCCTCAGCATGACCTATGCCCCACCACATAATCACAATATAAAAGCACTACCTAGTGCTCTAGCAGCAAAGAAGAATGGACTAGAATACAAAACCATAGCATCCACCTATAATGACAAGGTTGTGGCTAAAGTCTATAACTGTGCAATGGCAATATAGATGATACTAACCTAGTGTGAACTTCTCTTGCTCACTTTAGAAGTGTGATCATAAGCCTACAAAGCCACCTTAGCAAGAAGAGTGCCAATAAAGAATCCCAATCAAGTCTGGATACTGTACTAGGATATGGAACTCTCTTATATAATCAATAACCTCAAACCTTCACCCTTAGTTATCTCCTCTTGTACAAACATCATTTACTAGCTAGTTACACTACCACCCACATTGCTAGTTATACCTAACTTCTATAAATATTATCTTAGCTTGTTATTGCCCAGTAAGATTCCCCAACCACTTATTGTTACTAAAGAGTCTTCTGTCCCAAGGTTAATCATCCTGCTTATCAATTATTAGCAACTTGTCAAGTGTGTTATTGATCCTGGCTTATAGGTCATAGTAATGTCTGACAGCATCTGTAATAAGCTTGCCTTAATCTATGACCTTACAATTGTCCTCAATATGCAGTCCATAAATGGAGAAATAGGCAAATCCCTTAGCTTTGTGTATACTGTCCTATTCTTAATTGGCAATATCTGTTAAGCCACTAGGCTTATCATATGCTATAAGCACTAAAAGAGGCTCCCTAGGCTATTTGAAGAGTAATGGCCTAACAAATAAAGACTATGGCTTGTTTCTGGGCTTATGCAAGGAAATCGAAGTTACTATCAATTTTGTCCTCAAATAAATAGAGAAGGTGAATTTTGATGATAGAGTAATGCTTGTTATAGATGGGACTGTCTTTCCCAATCCAATAGACAACTTTAGATGGATTCTAAGAGATAACTCAGCAAGTAGCAAGTCCTTAATATATTGTAGAGATATAAGAACAATAGAGGCTTTGAGATGAATCTAGTGCTTTCATCTGGAAAACCACCCCTTTGTATTAAGCTCTAATTAGTTCTATTTATGCATAATTAAGAACAATTAGGATTAGATATTTTTAGCTTACCCCCCTCTAAACCTGGTCCAAATTAGACATAATTTTCCTAAATTAGGAATTATTAGGATTGATTATAACTTGAAATTTCGGAAAAATCATAATAAATCAAGCATCACAGTTCTCATAGCCTTCTTATAGAGTCATGTCTATTAGAGCACTAGTTCAATACCTAAACACAAAATATACCTTAAAACAAACTTGCCTTCTGCCAGAGTTAAACTAACAACCTCATGTATGCAAGCACCCAGGACAGATGCTCTAAGCCATCAAGCCACAAGGTCTAAGATATGAACTTGGTAATCTAAATCAAATAGTGTATGGTAGGGAACCCCTATATTTAGCATGCAATTATAGAGAGACAACACTGGCTACATTCCAAACCATTGTAAGTCCCTCACCATACACATCTTCATCATCTTGCCCTATTAGAAACATCCATATAATGCCAACAGATATGAATAGCAGGAAGAGCACAGCATGCGTATCTTTAACATGTAAGTTAGAAGGTTCTCTGCTATAAAATGAGATCAGACTGATCACTGGTGTTTCTCTTGGAGATGCAGAAACATATCCCCATCTATAACATCAACTACTAGGAACTCCCTGCTATCTTTCCAATCAAACTCCTCAATGAGTAGTGTACTCTGAATGATTGATTGTATAGATATAAACTTAGAGAATTGTTAAGGTTTTGCATATACTCAGATAAAGCCTAGATCTTTATCCTTCTATCTTTGTATATGTATGGGTATATCCAGAAATTGAATCAATGCAAGAAGATATGGGGTTTTGTTAACAAAGCAGGTAAAGACAAATAAAAGCTGTGCAAAAATATCTCCACTAACTGTGTTCACAAAAACACAATCCACTCATTCCTGATGGTGAAAATCAGGACTGCAATAGAGGTAATTTATTGTTTCTCTCTAGTCAACTTTAGATTCATATTTAACCTTGAGAAACTAATACTCTTTTATCTAATAGAAAGTAAAATTAGTCATAAGCACTCTATATAATAGAGATAATTAATAGCCTACAAGATCACTTGAATGAACTTTGATTGGGATATTATTTGGGAGATCAATACCACTAGCAAGCAGGAACTATGATATCTAAGAGCCTAGACACTATGTGAAATTACTAGATACAACATCATCCTTGTACCTTTCCTCCAAGGAATTAATGGAACAAGCCTTCTGAATAGCTCCAAGTAAAATATAACCTGTTAATAAAATTGTGGTTCTTGACTATGGCTTGATATCATCTTCTACATCCCCTTTATCTACATCTGCTGCCTCACCAGACTTGCGATACTCATCAAGCAAATCAATCCACTGTTGAAAAAAGGACATGACAAGGATATAATGGTCAATTTTCAGAATCTAAACAAGCATAAATGAGAATGTGATATAAAATATTCAAGGGACTAAGAACCTGATGGCCATATCCTTTTTGTTAGTTTAGAGGTCATATATATCTTTGAGAGCACCATGAATCTTCTCATTTGGCTTTGTATTGAAATTGCATGTAGTGCCTTTTGCTTGGATATCTGCAAAAAGATGTTCATAAGAGTATATCTTGGGAAAGTTCCAATTCTTGCTATTATTTATCAATGCAAGATACTCCTATAATCACTCTAAAATTAGACAAGAAAAAATAACAATAAAATAATGTAAAAACCTTCATAGCTTGCTCAAAAGTAAGTAAGGCTTGCTTGCCTACTATAATTGTGTCTTCAGTGTGGACATTTAGTAAAGCATACATATCCAAGACTAAAAAGCACCAGATACATTGCAATAAACAATAGCCTAGTTTTTTTGTGCACATATCACTAATGACATTGTGGGATGCAAATAAAATAATCTAATAAGACAATCTAAGTATAAAAGTAAATAAGAAATCAAATAGATCCAAACCTTAGATATATATATATTCAAACTTTTTACTATTAGTAAATGAAATCTTGATCATATTTTTGAAATAGATTTAACCCCTCTATTGAGGTATCATATCACATCTAAGCATTATATTAAAGAAAAAAAGTTGAACATACTATTTATTAACTTGTTTTTTAGCATTTTTTCCCAAAATAGCAAGATAATCCTTAAGCTATTTCCAAAGATAACTGCCAAACAAACCAAGGTTATAGGCATGAATACAGTCCCATAAAAGTGCACAATATACATCTGAATATGCAATAGATACAAAGGAACTCTAACAAATAAAGAATTACAATTAGTAATATAATCAAAGATTATGAGATAAAACCCACTTTTATAGGAAAGAGACCATAGGATTTAAGAATCACTTCCTTGTCTCTTTAAAGTGGTATTTAATCAACCTCTTCAAAAAAATTTCTGAGTATTGTAAGCCATACAAAGAAGGTAATCTTTAGAAAGATCAATTTGATGGTTAGCAGAAACTAAGCAAACTGAACATGGGAACTTTCCCTTGACACCTCATATCAATGCCATTAAATGTCTGGAAATTGTTTGAGCATAATCAAATCACAAAAAAAAACCTGTTTCTTATAATCAGCTGATAAAATCCGAATAAAAGCAAAAAGCTAGCATATAATATTATCACCACACTTGAAGTGATAACCTGTCTTCAAGATTTTGATAATTGTCTCCAAAAGCTTATAAAATGCACTATGCCATATAACATTCTTGAAATTGGCCCATCCTGGTGTTGATAATTCTGCTGAATCTTCCTCAACCTATGCAAATTAATATATATATTAAACCTGCAAATTTAAGCAATTAAACTTACAATTGGAAGCCATCCAAAAACATAACCTTCACCCAAGGTACCTTCACTATTCTGAATTCCAACTAGCAAGTTCCCATACCATGCTATTACTGGATACTCTGTCTAACCACCAAATGAAGACAGCTTGGTTTTATTAGGATAGAGAATCAAGCAAAATGATTTTGTGCCCTCTGGGATTGATAACTTATTTATCTGTAAATTATATAGTTATCTTACATACCTGAACATTCCAGAAGCTGTTTGCTGTCCAAGGTTCATGATATATATGCATAAATCTTGTTCCATTGAACTTCAAGATTTTTTCTGCATCCCACACAAAGTGTGGACTCAGAAGTAGATCTCCTATAAAATCCAATGCCCATTCCCAGAGTGGTTTCACATAGATATCAAAGTTCTGGACTGTGTTTTTGAATGGTACATGAATAGATGTCTTTTTGTGCTATATATGAGGAACCAAAGATGAGTATAGACAAAGAATGTGCTTTTATATACCAAGAAGCTTCTTCCAAAATATTATACATATCTGCATGTGACAACAAAGTGACAGCCTCATCTTTTTGGGCTCTCTTTATCAATAAAATCAGGGCATTTATCTCCTCTTTAATGAGGGCATTTTGCAAAGCAAAATTCACAACATCAAAATCCAAATGACTTCAGAATGGGTGCCATGGCTCTTCACTAACAAAGACCCATATGTGGTCCTTGACTTGATACCCATAGTCCTCAAAGTGTGATGTGACTGTTGCTTTGCAACTTCATGGGTGGAATTCAGTTCAGATGTTGTCAAGATGAGGCTCTAAAGGTACAGATATTGATGCAGAGGCAGAGGAAATCATAGGCACATCAGGGGCAGTGGGAGGTGCAAGATTTGATTGTTGTTGATTGGGCTTATTAATAGGTATAAGGGATTGATCTATAATTGATGTCAGGAAAGTCCTCATTTATAATGCAATAATAACATACTATTATTGCCTGATAAAAATGCTTGGTTAATGATTGGGCCTGATGCCTTAGCAGCAGGATGTACTACAATCAGTAAAACTGGGGAGCCTAAAGCAAAATTAACTGATCTTTTCAATTATAACAAGGCTCTTACATACCTGTTGCTCTATATTGCTTGGCCTTGAAGGCCCAATCTCTCTCTTGCTCAGCATTTTGACAAAAGCACATCTGCTTATGAGTGGTGACACCTCTCAAGTTGAAAGGTTGTCCATATAACTTGCAGTCTCTTATTCTTATAGGCATAGACATTGGAGAGATCCTACTATAGTCACAGAAATAGTATATAAGGTGAGGGAGCAATGCTGCAATAAGGGAGGCTACAATATGTAGGAGCACATTGCATCCATATTACAATCACAGTAGAATGATCTTATCTTAATCATGACATTATTTGAATGCATTTCAATCTTATAATAACCTATGACATATTATTTTAATGTTATGTTAACTCTATTATCAGCAAAACCTATTACAATGCAGTTAAGTATTTTGTGATACTAGGCAGTCTCTCTATTGCCTACAAACCATTGTCCACTCTTGTATTACTATCCTAATATAGTCAAGCTTCCATTTCTATTTTGTCTACTTATGTGACCTAGAGAAGAACTTACTACTTTTGGGGTTGTTGAATGAGCAGTTTATAACAATGAGCTTACTAATTTTCATTGGGCCTTGAATAACATTATAGATATGGAAAGAATCCTAAAGATAAGTTATCAAGCAATACCTAGCATAGAGCCTCAAAAATGGATTTAATCAGAACTTGTCAATATTATAAGTGTTACTCCCTCTCACTTGCCTAGGAATTGTTAAGCCACCACTTGGGTCAATAGTCTATAAGAATCTGGTTAATCACAACTCAAGACATTAGACTATAACTATAACTTTTGGATATCAATGTCTAATTCTGGCACCAATCTAAATGCTATATTTGTGTTAGATATGGTTATATTGGTGTTGCTATAGGCAGTAGCTAACCTCTCTCAAACTACTACTCTAACAAGCAACAGCACTAAAGAAGACAATAAAGATATAGAATTGTAAACGATAGTAGATACTAAGTATACATAAATTGTATATTTAGTATGGCTTCAGAAATCTTTGTAAAAACCTGTGAAGATTAATAGTACCAATGTATGATATACTTGTTGATATCAAAAAATCTGTCAACTATCTCCTCAACATTGTTTGATCTTAGAACAAAGGACTTATAAATGATATTGAAAGTAACATTCCTAGTTTCATGAAGTAGTAAAGAATTAAGGTGGGTTCTATGGAATGTAAAAGTGTGGATTTATAGAGTGCTGCTATAATAAGTACTAAGTACTATAGTTTGTCAAGAAGACATTACCAAGGAAACAAAATATCTCATAGGGTAATTTGGATCTTAACTAAACCCTTTACTCATTACATACATATGGTGTTCATCTCTATTCTTATTTAAGCCACCACTAGCCTTATATTGTATAGGATATAAATGTATTGAATTAACATCTGGAAAACCACCACCTTGTATTAGCTCCGGATTATATCTAATAGTGCCTAAAAGTATCTAAAAGTGTTAATAGCATCTAAAAGTGTCTAATTTCCTAATTGGGAGCAACATATTATGAGCATTGGATTGGTTTCTAATTTCATAATATTAACACTAATTCTATACTAAAAAGTCTTTAATTATTAGTAGGAAATAGTAAGTACTACTGCTCTATCAGTGAGAAGGTAAAGATGTGGCACATTCTATACTATTTCAGCATATTACTCTCCTTCATATATGCCTATACCATTATCTTGTAGCTCTTTTGCTGACTTTCCAGCTGCTTTTATAAGGGATATAGAAAGAGAGAAATGTGGATTGATGCCCCCAGCCACTTTGTTGGCAGCTTGGCAGCTGCCACAAGAGGCTATGAAGACCTAGGTACCTTGTCCTTGCACACAAGATCATTAAAGTTGTTATTGTTAGCCAATGCCTGCTACTGGTCATTATAGGACACAACATATGGGTTGGACTTAGGAATATGCTATATGCAGCCTTATAGACCTTGTCTATTAGTATAGTGGCTAATACTGTCTTGTGTAGCACACAATCATCATCCTATTGATATTACAATTTTTAGCACTATTTATATTGTTTATTGCCTTGTTATACAGAAGATGCTCAAACTTGGTGTTTTCCTCTAGCTATTGGGCTGTGGAAAAGACAGTCATATTGGTATGTGGTGCCAGAATGATATATTTGCCTGCTATATAGGAAATATATGCATTAAGCATATTAAGATCACCTCCAACAATCTTGTGCTTATTTATATATAGGCATGCCATACATATACCCTTGTCCCCACCCTCTACCTCACTAGTGGCTATTTGGAAAACCCCTTTCTCTTATTGGATCTTAATTATTCATAATCATGTTTTTGATCAAATTTGCAAATCCAGGTAGCATTATCTATACTAGTAGAGTCCTATTGAATATTACACTCAATCATAGTTTTACACATTCTAAATCCAAATTGTGTAAGTGCCATAATTTGTTTTTACCATAAATAAAGTGTATTATTTATTTTCCATTGGTTTATTATCTTCTTAGCTAGTGTTTAAACTAAATCCTAAAAGACCTGACTTTTTAGGTATTTATTGACCTATTTATTTATAAGAAAGAGAAAAGATAAATGTTAAATAAAATCAGAGATGTTGAGGTTGCCTATATTATGTCTACTTATTTAGATTACCAAGTTTATATCTTAGACCTTGTGGCTTAGTGGCTTAGAGCATCTGTTCCAGGTGCTTGCATACGTGAGGTTGTTGGTTCAACTCTGGCAGAAGGCAAGTTTGTTATAAGGTATATTCAGTGTTTAGGTACTTAACTAGTGCTCTAATAAACATGACTCTATAAGAAGGCTATGAGAACTGTGATGCTTGATTTATTATGATTTTTCCGAAATTTCAAGTTATAATGAATCCTAATGACTCCTAATTTAGGAAAATTATGTCTAATTAGAACAGGTTTAGAGGGGGGGTAAGCTAAAAATGTCTAATCCTAATTGTTCTTAATTATGCATAAATAGAACTAATTAGACAATAATACAAAGGGGTGGTTTTCCAGATAAAAAAGAAAAGAAAAGAAAAGAACATCTCAAGGCTAATAACATTATTATGGGATTTTGTGAATATATGTGCTAAACATTACATCATTGATCTAGCTAGTAAATATACAATGTTTAACTCCAAGAAATTTTTATCAATTCTTTTCTACTACAAATAGCCAAAATTAATGTATTTGATTTGTTATCATATTTAGCTAGCACTCTTTAACTATTCAGGTCTAGTAAACTGTTTATGGTTTTCTCACAAAGGATTAATGCTTGCTAGTAGGGGTATAAAGCTTTGTTAATTTAAGTTTATACTTCTTTAATTCATAATTTTTTTTTTGTCTAGCTGATAATGGCCATGTTTTCATATAGTCCCTTATAAGGAAATTGCTCCAGAGTATTTAGCTACAACAGAGTACTATTTTGGCAATTGCATAGATTAACTACTCTTATCTTTTATTATATGCTTTTTTAATAACGGTTAGAGAAAATGGTACACTCAAACTATGGCAAAGATATCTTGGCTTGGTAAGTATATCAATTATATCTTATGCTTCATTGATAATATTGAACTCTAGAGTAACATCATACTTCTTTTAATTTATAACATATTGGATTGTGCCACTTGTGGCATAGAGTCTCTAATACTAGATGAGTGCCAAAGGACCCTTATAGTCACATGTGCTAATAAAGTGACAATATTCTAAATTGACATTATCAACACAGATATAATTTTGCATTTTGACCATTCTTTCTAATTAATACCATAAAAGCAGAAAATTTGAAACCTTTTGCAACTTTATCTTATCTAGGGCTTGTATAAAGCATGTATTTCTTTAATAATGGTCATGCTATTGCTATAGTGTACCTCAATACTTATAAAATGTATATGTATCATATGACCAATATAACTGGTATATTGAGAATATTAAGAAATAGCCTAAACAAGTAAAAACTAGTAAAACAACATGAAGAACAAATAGCATGAAAGCTTATATATAAACATAGATAAGAAATTAATATAATGACTGGCATGTTGCAAAACTAAAAGGAAAAACTTAAAAACTCAAAGATTATGCAAAATAAAACTATAAGAGAACAAAATGGATTATAAAGAATAACATGCCACACCTTAGCATATCAAAAAGAATTGTCATATATACTGTGATCCATCCTATGTACTAGATTTGCTAGATAGCTATTGACATACTAGCAAATAAGGTAATTATTGGCAAAATAAAGATTAAAAAGGGTCCTAAGTGCTTCTACAAAATCAAACTGGTCAATTGTCTTAAAGTAACCAATTGTCATCTATAGAAAAGCTCCTTCCCTGATTATAAAGAGGGGGCTCTATTTATTTAGGTGCACAAGTAGGCTAGTAAAGTCCAAGTGATTGTCTAGTATCTCAAGAAGGTATTATATGCACAAATGCTTTAATACTTCTATATTCTTTGCTATTAGTATCTTTCCTATTGCTTTCTCATCCCTATCTTTGGTGTGCTTTTTTACTTGCAAAACCAATTCCTAGATCCTCTTTTTCTAAAAAAAATGATAATAGCTATTATTGTGTTTTCTAGTGCCAGTAAGTATGGAGCTCTATAAATGAACAAAAAGATGGAGATATTTGGGATTATGTTTTGTGAGTAACTAATAATATTTGAATCTACAAGTTTGAAGAAACTGACCAAATGAGTATGAGAGATGTTAGACTAGTAGCGCATATTTAGAAAGTTTATTCTTAGCTTATCTATCCTAGCTACCACTTTACCTATACTAGCCACTTAAATAAACTTATCATCTCAGATAAAGTGAGGATACCTATTGATTATCATGAATTATATAGGGTCTGAAAGTAAAGAAACAAATTCTGCCTAGAGATAAGAGAAAATACCTATGCTAAGAAGGAATTGTTATAATGCCCTTCTAGTAAAAGTATTAAGATATAGATACTTGACAAAGGCATGTGAGTGGTCTAATATGTGAGGACCAAATTTCTTTTTGGCTAATGGACCCCTATTAAGCTTTTTTGGCATCTTAACTAGGTAAGTTAGTATATGCTCAAATAATAAAACTGGGGTTTTCAATAAGTTATAAGAGGCCAGAGTTAATTCATTATTTAGAAAAATCACTCTTTTAATTATGCTTAAATTTTCTATAATTATA